CTCTCTAGAAAGTCAAAGTAAGATCAGACTTTAATATATGCTCAGGAGTGTTGGTGAGGGAGAACAACCTACCTTGAATTCTGAGAAAATGAGGTAGCAGGAAAAGAGTTTTATATTTCATTTTTAAAGCTATGCACAGAATCTTCTTCGTGTTCTGTTAACAGTCACAGACCAGTTATTATACTTCCAAAACACACTGACCTCCTCAGCCAACCCAGATAGCTATTAGCTTTTTGATATAGCCTGAAAGTAACACCACACTGCATTTGCAGTGCTTTCTGGTCAGGATTCTAATTTTTTACACTGTTGTAAGTTTTTTTAAGCCCCATATATGGAAGCAAAGATACACAGGATTGCAGAAAAGAAAAATAAACAGCCAGACCACCCACAATAATAAAAGGCGAGGGCAGTAGGTGCGCTTGTACCCCCAGGCATCTTTCAGCTCCAAATCATGGACTGTGCAGGAGACAGTAATTGGAAAATAGATGAATTGCACCTTCAGCTGTGGGACTGAACGTATCAAGTTCTTAGGGGTAGTTGTGAACCTTATTACTCGTAGAGCTGACACAGAACATGTCAGCTGCCCAAGAAGCATCACCTCCAGAGGCAGAGGGGAGCCAGGGAACAGTGTCTGGGTTGATAATTAGCTTGCTAACCAACAGCTGCATAGTGTAGCTGATCCTCTTGTGAATTAAGATATACTGGAGTACTGTCCCAGCATTTTTATATGCTCTTCCTTTTTTGCTTCCTATCCCTATCTTAGCCACTGTTAAATTGCTGAATCATGGTACAGATCCAGTATCCCAAAGTCTGTCTTTGTTCTGTTTTTATTTCAGTGTCTTTTCATTGGGCTACTCCATGGTCAGAAATGTTCACAACAAAGATGTATCAACTTCCATATGTTAAATAATTTTATGTGGTGTGATCAGTGTATCTGCCACAAGAATGGCAATTCTGATGACAATTCTGTGGGTATATCAGGAAAATTAGTTAATTCAGGAGGTTTTTTGGCCCACCAAAATAAATCTTCATACTGTCGCTACTGTTGTAAACAAATTAAGAATGTCCATGTTTAGTTATTAATGATTTGTTCTAGCACAGAATCATAAATTGTTATTACCCCTTTCTTTCCCAGAGGAATCACCTTAACAAAACTTTACTATGGTCTATTCATAAGTAGTTTAAACAATATTTTACTATTACAGTATTTTTGGGAGGGTAAAAGTGCCATCCCCAGTGTCCAGGGAAAACAAACGGGCTCAGCAGTTGCAAGCACGTTTCCACTGGCAGTGCAAGTGGGATGACAAGAAAATCCAAATCTCAAGACCAAATTCCTTTTGATGCTGTGTGCAAGTTGAAAAGGAAATACTATGAGCCTATGAGCAGTTTCTCTTAATGCAACATCCATAAGCATTATTTCACCTGACAGTCATTCACAAGTTTTCTATGAACTAAATATTTTGCAGATAGAGTTAAATAGGCAGAGGTTTCAAACACATTTGGATTCTGCCTGGGAAAGGAATTTTCCACTCTGTACTACTTAGAAAAATGAAGACGCTGTAGGCTATGGTATCATGTTCAGAGGAACAAGGTGGGTAGGATAGGGCATTAAGCACTATTATACTCCAGGGAAGAAAGAGCAGACAGGGGCACAAAAGAAGCGCTTCATTATATTTTAAATGGGAATAGTTCCAAGGATAGGAAAGCCTGTGGTGCTTGTAAAGGATTAAACAGGGTAATGTGCTTTTTAAAAAGACATAAAGAGGTATGTAATGTGATATGTTTAAGCCTAAATGATTTTTCTTGGAGTCCTCAATGAATGTTTAAGCAGGCATGACTTAGGCCTCTGTAAATCCTCTCTGAATAAATAACTTCTGCAAAAATAGAGTTTCCTTAGACAGAATGAGATGCATATTTCATAACCTATGCAAAAAAAGGAAAATCAATTTGAGACACATGAAACACTTAAGAATAATAAAGAAAAAGGGAAGAAAAAGTGAATAATCCAAGCTTATATAAAAATACAGCTACTTCCCCAACCATTTTGATTTGACAGTGAAGGAAGACAAACAACTGAATGAATGCTTCCCTATCTTAAACTCAGACCTTCAACTGCTTTTTGCTGTTTTTTGAGAAAGGAGGAGACAACAAATGGAAGAAAATACCTAAAGCACCTGTGCTTTTCAGGCTGTTTCTTTACCCTGCTCTGTCTTCAGGGTAAATCTACTCAGCTGCTCTCTAACTGGACCTGATGGTACATATAGCTGTTCATTATGGATGGAACAGGAGCACACACGGTGAGACATGTGCACCTGATTTATGAGAATAACAGGACGAATAAACACCAAAATCTGAAAACTTACAGAGGCATGATCTTCCCATCCTAGTCTTCTTGCCTGTCCTGCTCTCCTGCTAGGAAACGCAGGTCAAAGCAGTAGATTGCCTGATGCGAAGTGGGACTATGCAATCATTGTCATTTGGCTGTACTGTATTTTCACTCACAGGGGTACCATTCCCCATGAAGTCACTGGTACAGCAAGCACGCATTCCTGCTGAGTGAGAGGGGTGATGTGTTGAGTAAATCAGTGGTTGATCCCTCTCCCCTTCCCCCTGTTTATATATACATTAATACAATAGTGCCAGCTCCTCTGGAATTGTCAGAATAAAAGCAAAACAAAACTAAAGAACTATTATGCTTTAACAAAAAATTTTGTGAAAGCTACTTGTAAACCCCATTTAACCTCTGAGATGGTGCAGCAGGGAGTGCTGTTAAAGCTGAGCATGTCCACTGCACTCAGACATCCTTTCAGGACACATCTTTTCCATGGTGTGTACTCCTATCGCAGCACATTCATGGTCATTAGTCAGCTGAGTGGAAATCCCTTTCCCTGTACCCGTTTGGAAGCACTCTGTAAGTCTCTGCTCTCTCACTTGGCACTCCAGGAACGTGTGCCAAGGTAATGGCATCACAGAGCTTGGACAAACTGCTGTTCGGTCATGCTTTAGGAAGGTAGAAACAAAATGAAACACAGAGGAAGACCTGTTGGTTTAGCTTGTCCAGAGTTATATTTAGCTTAATAGCTGTGATGTGGCCAGTTAAATTCATTAAAGACCCTGAAGAACATCATGAAGCATAGATATAGGCCTAGGAGGCCCATGAATTTCTTTCCTCTGAAATGTTTTCATTTTTTGAAGTGTGTTACAGAGATTATAATCTCTGCCTCTTATCAGCTACCTTTTAAAATATTAGCTTTCTTTGCCTAAGATTAGCTTTTAACATCACTTTCTTCATCCAGCTTTCTTCCTGAGCAGGCCAAATACAATCTCCCCAAAGCTTCTGTGTGAGTAGCAGCTGGCAAATAATCTTTTTCTGTGTCATATCTTCCTGTAAACTGAAGGAAGGGGAGAAAATGCACACGTAGGTAAATGTGTATGTTCATTAGAATCAGGCCTAAGATGTCTGATTTTTTTGAACTGGAGGGTGGTTGGCTTCTTCACATGGCACAACTTAGTTTTTCAACATCATCACTTGCAAGTGCTTATTCCTGGGGAGCAGAATCATGGGAAATTAAAGAACTTAGAAATTTCTGGTTTTGTAGGTTTTAAGATAGCAAATGCCATATTTCCAGGAACAAGAAATCAAAGACTGTAATCTGGAATTACCTGCCAGCATGCTACACCATTTGTTTGGGTTTTTTTTCAGCTAAAAGCCTTTAGTCAGCACAGCTGTGTTTGATGTACTCTGTTTTTTAATTCTTCTGAAACCCTTTGTATAACTTGGGAAGGCAAACCAAAAGGAGGGCAGTTTTTTAAAATATATATATATACAAAAGTCAACCCCTAGCTTTATCAGCCCCTTACAAACCAAGCTAAAATATGTTTTCTCAAAAAAAGCAATTTCCTCTAGCCTATAAATCTTCAGACTTTTTTTCTTGCTCTTTCAGCTCATGACTTTATCTAAAGGGGTTTCAAAAGTGCAGTTCCCCAGGGCCACTCTTGCCTCTTCTTTTAAGCTGTTTAGTCCTCCAGAGGAGAAAATATGATCCTGGTTATCCAGAGGTTGGATCGGTGATTTTAGAACTCCAAAGAATCTTTGTTATTTTGTAGTTCTTTTATTATCAAGAGATCACCAGTGATTACATCATTCTTTTTAACACACTTTTTTCCCTTGTCTGTATTCAGTGTGAAAACATCAGAAATTACAGGTTTTCCTGGTAAATGGATTTTGAAGGAGACAAAAGGCAGAGTTTTTCTGGATTTTTAGAAGTCTCTAAATCAAGCTTATAACAAGTAAGCACACAATTCATAGATATTTTGTCTAATCAATCTTCCCATTTTGAAGTTCAAAATAAAGTTAACAAAATACGATAATTCTTTGATTTGATTTAAAAATCTGAATATAAAGATAAAATGGTAGGCAAAAAGTTTGTATACAGTCACTCATTATACTGAATATTCACTCTTATAGCTGTAGCTGTCAAACAAAAATTGGGAGGGAGTTATTGAATTCACAAACATGCTTACAAAAATTGATTCCTACTCTCAAAGCCCACCACAGAAAGTGGTTGTGAGACTGATCTTTAAAGCCAGATCATCTTTTTCTGCCTTCCTCTCTCAAAACAAACATGATTCATAGCTACAACTGAAAGCCAAGATTTTCAGCATTAAGAGTCTACAAAAATAAGATAATTAGTGTTCTAAGACCAGTGATCCTATTCCCATTTTGCATCCTGATAAATGCACTCATCTCCTATAAATACACCTATAAGTCCTTTTTTCGGCAAACAGTTGAGGTACTTACATTTTAAAATGCTGTTAAAAACAAGCTACACAGCTGAGAAGTCCCAATGCTCTGTGCTGATTGCAAAGGACTTGCAGAAATAGGTACCAGGCACGATCTTTAGCTGGGTGCGAATGCATCTCTTATATTTAAAAGCAACAACTAAACAAATGTGGAGTCACACAGAGCATCTCCAATGGGAAGCAAAATGTAAGCATACCTTTTGAATACCTGCGGTCGACTCCACGACGTTGTTCTCTGAGCCATTACTTCTGTTAATCATCCTCCACATTTGGGAATACATGCCATCCCTCTCAAAAGGATTCATCCCTTTCACTCGGACGTGCTCATAGACTGCGGAGTCCAAGACAGTGCCATAAGGAATATCCGTCTGCCTCGACAGATCCTGGAGAGACCTTAATTGTTGGTGAAGAAAAGAGACACAGGAGACTTGAAGCTACATTTTCAAGAGGAAGGAGCTGCAGGCAAGCAAAGGGCAATACATAGGAAGATAGCTGTCAAGACACCTTCTTTAGGTTTTTTTTTTTTAATTATTTTTCCTTTTCTTTTTTCTTGAAAGGTAAAGTGAGACTGAAAAAGGGGTGGAAAAAGTGAAAATGGATGGAAAGAGAAGAACAGAAAGAGTAAGAGGATCCTGTCAAATGCCAAGATCCTTTTGGCAGGGGCAAAGGAGAGAAAGGGAGCATTGCAGTCTCTCCAGCTGTATGCAGGAAGTTCAACAGAAGCTGGGTAACAGCCTACATGAGTACAGTGCAAACACACACTCTGCTGCTGGGGAGCTGGAGTGTTGGCACTAGAACTCACCAAATCTAGCCCAAAGCACCTGTGCTGAGTAACTCTATGTGCTACTGGGTTACACCACGAAAGGCAGTTTTGTCATGGTATTCCTGCACTGAACTGTGGTTCACAGTAGGTCACATCCTACATTATATTCAGCAATTAGATTTCTGTTGTGGTTTCATAAACTGATTTTTCATCAAAGTTCATGTTATTTAGTCTAATAAATATGTTCTGCTTTACATGTTATCTAGTTTTACCATTCCTTGTAAAAAAGAAAAATAATACAGTTTCTAAAGGATCCCAACTGCAGTATTTTCAACCCTGATTTGGACTTAAAAAATGTATATTATAACCCTTTAAAGTCTCCTTACCTCTTGGCCTTTATTTTCCTGTCCTGTGGAATTCCTCTTCCGTACCTTTGATTCTTTAATGGCTTTCATTAAAGTTTCAAAATAACTACTGCCATATGTCTCCTGCCTAAAACCCATTACAGCTTTCCCAGCACAAATTAATGGTATAAACTGCAAATCTAGGGGTTGACACATAAGGACAAATCAAGGGGTAGAACACTGTCTTAAAGAAGGCAATAGCAAACTGTAAAAGCTCATTGCAGACACAGAAAAGCAAACACAAATGTAGGAAACTCATCAAATTCCAAGTTGTGTTTCTGAAACATGTAAACATGGTGGCTAGTGAAAATGGCCCTGCAGGTGGAAAAAAAGGAATTCTTGGGTGTTCTGAGGTTGGCACTGAAGAAAACAATAACCAAATCTCAAAAGATATTTATGTCTCTGAACAAAACAGAAAGCAGGAGAAGAAGAAATCAATAGAGCTCAATAGCAAGGGTTCAGAAGTTAGATAAGTAAAAAAGAAATCCTTTGAAATTCAGACATATGGTCTTAGAAAAACACTGAACAAGAGCTAAATTCTAATCAGATAACATATAGTAACTACAAGGAAGGGATAAATTTAATTTTGATGAGTAAATAACTAACAGTATTAAACCCCCGAAAATCTTCTCCTCTTTCTCCAACAGGATGACACTCCTCTTCAACAGCCATCCTGCAAACAATCAGGACACATATGGAATCATCAAAGATGAGATGGCAGTTGTAATGTGAATTTCCTGAAACCAAGTGTATTTGCCTTCTACTAGAGGACCAAGACATGCCTTTTTCTAGGAGGAAAAATATGACACTGTAGTAGACTAAGGCATCAGGAAAATAAGTACTGTGGTTAATTTGTAATTGAAAAGTAAAAAATAAACTATCAAGTCCAGATAAATACCTATGAGTTCTGAAAGATTAAATATGAAATGGCTGAGCTGTTAGTAAAAATAGGAAACCTTGTTACAGCTGTGAGCGAAAGGGAAGCAGTAAACATTTTAAAAAGTGGCAATCAGGGGAATTGTGAAAGTAAACTACTTAGGTGATATTTTAGGTGATAAATTTAATAAATATAGTGAAATAAGGTTTGATACAATTTTAAAGATCAGTCCTGAAGCTTAGCATAGCCACCAGGCAGGTTTCTCCAGGGAAAGCAATTCAATCATCTATTACACTTTGAAATTACTAAAAAACCCCAAGAATTTCAAAAGGGCCTTCATCTCATCAGACAATATACAGATGGTGGAAGATGCTGGATAGTCTTCAAACGAGGAATTTAGAAACACTTCCTGGCAACCCTGGGTAGCATTAGAAATACTCAGCCAGAGTGGATGCGCTTGAGGGATTTCAAGGGTAACAAGAACAGCTTTTGCAGAACTAAAAGCCTAAACAAGGAAAGTGTGAAGCTGTTGATGGGGACAGCAGACACAGCTAAAGCTGAGGTGTTCAGTGCCTGCGTGAGTGCCTCACTCTTCCTCAGCAAGGTCCCCCAGCAAGGTCTCTGGGAACAGAGGGAGGGTTCAACGGGGCAATGAACAACCAGCAGGAAGTGGTCAGGTAAATCCCAACGAGACAAGGCAGGGATTGACTGGGATCACCAGACCCACAGAAGCCTATGGGACCTGGCAGGCTGCATCAAAGTGTGCTGAGAGAGCTGGCCAATGTCCTTGCAGGGCCAGCTGCTTTGATTTTTGAAAGGTGAAGGAGATCCTTGGCTACTAGAGAAAGAAAATGTCCAGACTGTATTCAAAAAGATGAAAGAGATGATTCATGGAATTATAGCTGGTCATCCAACATCATGGAGTGAGTCTTCTTAGGCCACATTTCTGAGCATATGAAGGAGAAGCAGCTGACTGGCCACGGTCTACATGGATTTACCAAAGCTAAGTCATGCCTGACCAACTTGGCTGCCTTCTACAATAAAATTACTTTGTTTGTGGACAAGATGAGAGAAACAGACATAGTTTACCTCAGCTTTATCAGGGCATTCAATACTGGCTCCCACAATATTCTTGAATCTAAATTAGGTCATTAGGTATGACTGGGTGGGAAAATGGATAAATTCCTGATTGGATAGTCATGCTCACAGGGTAGCTCACATGGAGTCTGCTAACAGGTACCACAGAGGTCTAACCTGGGACATGTCTTTACCAATAACCTGGAGGAGGTAAGCAAGGACCCTCTTGTCAATTTTGCTGATGACATGACATTGAGGGACCAGCTGACTGCTCAAGAACAGGCTGCTGTTCAGACGGACCTAGAAAGGCTGGGGGAATGGGGTGTGAAATTCAGCAAGGACAAATGCAAAGTCCTGCACCTAGGGGTGAATAACTCCCTGTAACAACCTAGGCTGGGGCACAGATCTGCAGAAAGGCACCCCCACAGGCAGCAGTGGGCCTTGGTAAGAGCTTCGTTCTTTTTTACCATTAGGCAAATTGTTGTGCAGAGTAGTGTATTACTGTTGTGTTGACTGTCTATCTGTCAAAAGCATCAGTGATGAAAGGCACTAGATAAATAGAACATACATCCATTCTGTGTTACTGCTGCTGCTGCTGCCAATACACTCCTCTACCTGGCAGCGCTCAGAAGTGCAATGAACTGTCGCAGGATGCAAAATGTAATGTCCTGTGATTGTTGTGTTATTTGTCATACTAGAAAAGTATACAAAAAGTATTTATTGAGTCTCCAATTTCCAGTGACAACACCTACCAAAAGTGCAATCATTACAAGTCTATGTATAGCCATATAATTTCTAGTATAATAAGCAACAGAGAATTTTTTGGATATATTATTGCTACGTGGTAAATAATTGATATGTGTAGCTGCTGCCACAAACCAGTATGGTTACAAACAACACAAAAGAAAACCAGCTCCTCTGTATATTTTGTGGCTATAAAAGCAACTCTGCTATTTTCAGAAAGGTACACCAGCACAAGACATCAGCTGTCAGTCTTGAAGTGTACTACAGTCAGATATGGGAAACATATTGCAAACAGGCTGAGAAGCAAGAAAGAATGCTATCACACACAAAGGCAGCACCAGCAGGGAAATAACAAGGAGAAGAATTATGTCAATGCCTTCAGGAAGGCATGTTGTAGTTGCCAAGTCTGGCATTAACTACAGTCTGCAGTTTCTCATGGTTAGATGTGCTATCCTAAAACACCGGATGCCTCTCAGCTGCCCTACTCTGCATCTTTACACAGTTGCAGGTGAAGCTCCATGCTGAGAAAATGATGGTAGGAGGACAAAAGCAAGACAACTATAAATGTAAACTCTATGGATGCGCTAAATGCTGTTGTTGGCAGTAAACCTAAAGTTTTGGTTCACCTGACCATACACTGAGGAACAAGAAAGAAGTTTCAGAACCTTTGACATGTATATGTGTATATTTTGCTGCATAAGCAAGCTGCAAAAGCAGTAAAGATCTATCACATCAGCGGCTCCCTCCCCTCGCACAAACATGTAAAATGGGATCATAATATATATGACCTCCTTCAGATGCTGGTTTTTTAATAACCTGCAACTCTGCAGACTACTGGTGTGCCATTCAGAACCTAGAAGCTATTGTACAGCAAAACAAAGAGAAATGACAAACTTTGACAGAACTAACAGAATTATTAAACCATCGAGGTTCCTTTACCGAAGAAAGAACTTTTATAACTACTTTGCCTCCAGCCTGGTTTTATAAGTTACACATTGTTTGGAGTACCTCTATTCCTGTATTAAACAATTCATTCTCTTTTCAGACAAATGCATTTAGTGCATACACAAATCCTCAGCCTCACTATGTCACCCAATCTCACCACACAGCTGCCACACCAGATCTCAAAATAAGGAAAAAGTATTTGTCAAGCTGATTAATTCCTACGATACAGGGTATCATTTGATGCCCAAATTCTGATACTGTTATCCACACTGAAAGTTAGTTTTGTGATAGTTCTTCATTGAGCTACCCGCAAAGCAAAACATACATCTAGCGTGAGTAAGTAAATTATAGTCCAACATTTTAAAACTTTTATCTCCTTGAATTTCTAATTTTGAAGCAATAAGGTGGCAGGCACTGATCTCTTCTCTGTGGTGAACCAGTGATAGGACCCAAGGGAATGGCCTGAAGTTGTGTCAGGGGAGGTTTAGGTTGGACACTAGGAAAAGGTTTTTCACCCAGAGAGTGGCTGGGCACTGGAATAGGCCCAACAGGTGGTTGGGCACTGGAAGTGGTCACAGGACCA